CCTTATGCTTGTTACACATTTTACTTACATTGGTATTACCTGTTGAGCATAATTAAAGTTTGATGTTAAATTTGCAGTTTAACATAATGTACTTTTGCATCAGAATTGACATTAGCCTATTTTGTGCATAGTTATTTCCTGCTTTTTGTCTGTACATTTGACAGCTTTGCTGCCTTGTTTATATATGAGTAAATAATTATAAATAAATAATTTAAAAAATATCAATAACAACAACTTTTATTTCCCTTCACAGACCCAAAAAGTGTCACTGGCATTGTTTTAGATGAAGTGGCTCATGCTATAGTGAACAGGGCATATGAAGACACTGGTTATTATAAGACAGCTGCCAAGATGTGCAAGATAATTACACAGGTAACTAGTGGTGTGCACCTCATACTCTTTAGTTCACTAGTCACTTTAATGGTAACCCTCAGGAGAGAAGTTGTCTAAATTTAAATTTTCTTGTCTGAAGATGAAATTTACCATAATGAAAACAACTTTTTTGTCATTAGCCTATGTAGACTAGTCAATTTGAAATAAATAAAATAAAATTTTAATACTCAACAGTCTGTGAGTGCATTTTAGATTTTAGATCGATCTATCCCCGTGGGGGGTCTCACTAGATTACTGTCAGATAATCCGGCTTAAATGCCCGTCCCGCCTACTACAAGCTGTAAGGGGGTAACTAACTTTCAGATGCCTGTGCAAAAATTTATTTTATTCATTTATTTTAATTTATCCTTTTTATCTCATTAAGTTCTGTTCGCATATCCTATATTATACCTGTATATCATTATTTTAATTTGTAAATTTTATTCTCACTCCATTTTATGTATAACTTCAACCTTTTGGTTGCCTTGTTTTAATAAACTTATTTACATATTAACTTTTGTGCCCACTTGGCTGACAGCTATTTAGCATGAGTTAGGTTGATCTAGTTGGATCGATCTAATCACTGGGAATGGGGTCTATGTTGTCATAGACTGTTTAGACCTGTGTGCTTGACACAACTAAAAGAGACAGACTTGGAAAAATATGACACCCATATGTTAAATTGTCTTTTGAAAAAAAGATTGGCTTGGAAAGATAAGACACCCACAGGGTTATTTCTAAGAAGAGACAGACTTGGAAAGATAAGACACCTACATGCTTATTTTGGAAGAAGGAGACAGACTTGGAAAAATATGACACTCACATGACATTTCCATAATTTTAGAAAGAGACAGGCTTGGAAAAATATGATGCCCACATGTTTATTTCTATCATTTTTGAAAGAGACAGAATGGGGAAAAATATGACACTCAAATTACATTTCCATAATTTTAGAAAGAGACAGAACTGGAAAAATATGACGTCATTCCCTGTAGCAGGTTCAGATATGCTGTGATAGACCACTGTCAAAGACTCTATGATGACCATGTCCAGATGAGAGAGACAAACAGAAGATTCTGGATGGAGTATGTCCATTTTCTGGCAGAACTGTACCACCAGATAAGAGATTCTTGTGGACGTGGAATCAGGGGGATATTTGATGTCCTGTATAAAGCTCTGATGGTTCTGAGCAGACCTCCTTGTATTTTTGAGCCAGATGAGGTAGGGAATTTTGTGACGAGAAGAGAAGTGGGGTGTTTTGATAAATTACTGTACTTGTTTTTTTCTTGTCATTGTTGTTATTATAATAATTTCTGTTGCCATTTTAATCTCTGTTTATTTATTTACATATAATACTTATTTTGTTTATTTCAAGAATTTAGAAGGAAAAAAAGAGGAGCATTTCCCCAAATTACTTTTAAATGTGATGTGTTAAAAGGACACAAAAGAGGATTTTCGCGCCAAAATTGAATTATCCCGGGGTAAACAGTACTTTTCCGCGATTCACCAACCTTTAATCCATCATTCCCGGCACTCGCCATCGCTCTGTAACATTTTTGGAAAATACAATAAAAGAAATTGTATTGATTGTATTTTCCAAAAATGTTACAGAGCGATGGCGAGTGCCGGGAATGATGGATTTAAGGTTGGTGAATTGCGGAAAAGTACTGTTTACCCCGGGATAATTCAATTTTGGCGCGAAAATCCTCTTTTGTGTCCTTTTAACACATCACAATTAAAAGTAATTTGGGGAAATGCTCCTCCTTTTCTTTTACCAAGAACCACCTCCATTTTCATACTCTTCTTATTGGTCCCTCTGCACTATAGAAAAGATTGGAAAAGTCACATAACTTGTATAATTTTGTTGCTGTTTATTTGTACTGAACATTTTCAGGAATATATATGTTTTTCAGAGATTTACATATATATTCTTTTGTACAGAAAAGTTCAATTTTTTCCCTTTAATCTTAGCTTAAAGCATGTGCTATTACTCACAAAGTTAATTGTGTTCCCATTATTACCTCTGATCGTGACATTATCAAGTTGTAACTTTAGTTTATGAAAAAATCTGAGTTTAAGCTATGGAAGGAGATGATAAGCCCACGCTTTTACATATTGGCTGGTGAAAACTAAATACCACTTGATTTGGTAAAAAAAGACACATTTATAGTTTATACACCATTCCAACAGACTGCTGAAGATGTCTTGTATTTGCTGTCAGTATCTGTTTGTAATTTTAAAAGTAGACAGACAATCATCATAAACTACACCCATTTCTACATTAAACCAAAGAAATTTCATCCTAGAGTGACCAGTAACGTTTACTTTTTCCTTTGCTTATTTCAAGAATTTAGAGGGGGGAAAAGGAAGAGACATTTTCTTAAATTACTTTGTTAAATTATTTATTTATTTATGAATTTATAATTATTATTGTTATTATTTTTCTTATTAGTTGTTGTTGTTGTAGTTGTAATATTTTTGGTAAATCTAGGATGAAATTTCTTTCAGAATAAAGGTTAGTATTAGCAGAATTAAATATTTGGACTAAATCAACGACAAATCTGGTGTAATCTTGAAATATCTATTATTATCTATGTAATTTTTTAAAAATAAGATGCTTAACTACGTTTGGATAAACTGCACTACTAACTTCAGCCAATTATCAGCATACTATTGTTGCAACAGCTTGTTAAGAAATTTGTACAATTGGGCATGTCTCCTGTTTGTAATATGATTTGATATTCTTATTCTCTTAGTCTGAAAATATCTTGCATTTAAAAATACTGACACTGATTTGAATGTTCATGCATTTCAGTAAAACCATCACAAAGCAAAATGATCCAAACATTTTGATGGACCACATATGTAACATAAAAAGGGACCATTCCTACAGATATTTGAATTGATCTATCTCCCTGGGGAGTCTCACTAAATTGCTGTCAAATTGATCACCTGAAATGTCTTTCATACCTAGTAAAGCTGTTTTGGTAGGCATGACAGACATTTAAGCCGGTTAGTTGACAGCAATTTAGTGAGACCCACCCAGGGAGTTAGATCGATCCAGATGGATCGATCTAGGCATGGGAACCCAGTTTAATGATTAAAAAAACCAAAAGCTCTGTTTCAGTTGCCAAAGCCCCAAATGAGTTAATTTGTATTTTCCAGATGGACGTGCTATGCTCCATCTTGCACGAGGTGGGTCAGGACCTTGAGGTGGACGATGGTGACCAGATGGACACTTTGATATGTGGTGTGCGTGATGCGGCATTGGAACCGCACACTGAGCCCTGGTGCAGGGGGACGCTGATGCAGATCTTGGAACTACGAGCAAGTCGTTGGGAGCTACCTCACCATGTGGCACAGTTTTATTATGAAAACTCTGCAGATTGATGATAGTAGCATATGGAGGAGGCAGGGGATGGGGAGGGGAGGGGGTAAAGGAGGAAGATCCTCTACAGAGCAAGTAATTTTATGTAACAACAGTGATGGAATCCCTTGGTTTATTTTAAAATGCAATATTAAGCTGTTTGAAGACCCAAATTGATTATTTCAGGAGGGAAGGAAAATGCCTTTTTTTTCTGTATTTACATTGACTGTTGGTCAGCAATTCACTATTTGATACTTTTAGTTTATTTTTGTACATTTTGATTATTCTTTATATTTCGTACACTGTTTTGCAGTACTAAGTTTGTTTCTTGAATTGTTTATGAATCACAAACATCCTAGTCAAGTACTTCATAATGTCAGAAAAAAATGCCATGCTTTTATTTACTGCTTTTATTTTGTGTCCAATTTGCCGCCATGATGGAAATGATTTGTGTAGTGCATAAACTTTTTTTATCAGCTTGTAGAAGCAGCTTTTCATTAGTTTTCTGGAACATGTACATTTAGCTAAAAGTGCCAAAATCATATACTGTAAATGGTATGCTGCTCAAGTGTCCTGACCAGCACTTCCCGGGCACTTTTCAACTTTTATTAAAATATTTGTATACATTTACATGGTTTGTAAACCTACTAAAACTAATAACATTAATGGAGTACTTGGTAGTCTCTGATAATTACCATGATATTCAATAGTTCAGCGTGTTTATGTTGGAATACGCAAGTTCCTTGTACTCCTTCAATGTAATTGTGATGTCAAGCATGTCAACAAGTTAATGGCTGCACTGGTTTATTTTGTTATATTTACCTTTGTTTTAAATACTGGGATAATTTCATGGGAAGATATATGGATTTTTTTTTGTGTGTTTTTTTGGTCATAATTTTTTGTTACTGCTGCAATACACACTGTGCTACTTCAGACCCCAGATCAAGGCCCAGTGACAGTCTTAGCATTTCCTTGTTTATGTAGTGTAGGGTTAATCTAGTAGCGAGTCTAATGTTACACCTTATCCAGTGTTTTATGTGGGATTTCACCAGTACAAATAAAAGCTTAATATAATAAGCAGGATTTCTCTCAGATACTTCTCAAATTGCTACTAAAGGTATGCAGGTCTAGTATGAAAGTAAAGCATTTTTGCTGAAATGCTGGTAGGAAAAATGTTTTTTATCTTTGAAAAATCTCAAATGTAGGTAACTTTAAGAGTTTGACTCCCAGAGTGAAATTTTTTAAGGCTTCATATTTTCTTCATACACCTTGCCTTCCATTGATGGTAGTTTCTGTCTTTTCATTTAATGTTTGAAGTTTTCTTTCCCAACCACCATAGGTAAATACCAGTAGACAAGATTTACATGAAAATAATTCAGGAAAAAAATTCAGAGTACATATCGTTTACTTTATGTACCAGAGACTCTAATTATTTAGAATATACATTCTATTTTACATACATATCGAAAAGTAACAAAATGGTTTTGCATATGTACATGTACTTAAGTAAAACGTGTAGATAGAAAATTACTTACGTTTCATACTGTGTATAAACGAATGTCATTTCAGACACGTCTTTGCACTGTTAACTTTTACCTACTTCATATGTATTCCATAGTAATGAAAATAAGACATCATAATAAATATAAACTTTAATGAAATTCCAAAAAGATAAATGATAAAGAGTATTTTGATAAAGATAGATTTAAAATTCCACCGTGGCATGATTTAGAACGGATTGAAATAATCCTGAACAGTATAAAGATGGTTGCTTATAATTACTGTATTAATTACTTAATGTACCACCATTATATTCATATCGCTTATGTTTTAGTATAGAAAAATAAGTGAATGCCAATTCAAATGCCCTTTAAAATGTGAAAAAGTCCATATGCTCGCCCAACGAAAAAGAAAGTATACGCACACGTACGTTAAAAATTTATGCGCACCCTTCCGCCCACCCCCCCAAAAAAAGAAAAAAAAAACTTTGCCCTCAGACACGCATTCATACCTAAGTAGATCTAATCACATTTTCAACAAATCGATATTGATACTTAAAATAAGCTGACTTCATCTGACTCGTGCAATGACGGAACATTAAGCTTACAGTTTTTTTATGCTTGAAAAATTCAAGTGGAATTTTTAAAAAGAACACTGATGTCCATACTAGGCTCCAAAAGTGAGCATCTCCCTGCATTATACAGATCTAAAACTATTGACCTTTATATATATTTGTATATTTTCGAATGTTTTATATATATTGACATTTGTGTAACCGTTAATGCTCTATTGTTTTAGTAGATAATGTGTATATTGCTGATGGATCTTCGTCCTTAGTCATGAACATATTGCTGTCGTAGTACAGTTTACCCTCTGCGTCGTACTTGTTGGTTAATTCGTCCAAGTTGCGAACTGCGTCCATCTCGCCTCTTGTTCTAAATAAAACAAGTAGAAAACTAGTGAATATGTGGGCGTGTCTCTCTCCTAAGAAATATGTGAATAATATTCATACAGAGTGTCAAACAATAGACAATGTAGAAACTGTAATGTTCTGGTACATGCACAAAAGGCAATAAAAACGTCATTGACGGGAATTATATAGAAACGTGAATATTTATAGTCACTCACCTTGCTCTTTGGTAGAGTACTACTGAAACCACAATGACTGCAAGAACGAAACCTATACCAACAGCAAGAAGGATGGGCCAGTTTCTGTTCCACTGATCCTAGAATAAAGCATATTTCATTAACTAAGATTGCGACAGCTGTGCATTAATATGACAAACTTTCTGATAAGAAAATAACCATTTTGGGATTTTGAGGTAAAGTAAATATATAAACCGCGAACTTTCCAGGCACAAAAGACATTAATCACACTTGCCAATCAGCATTTTATCGAATTCAAACTCTCAAATACACAGCAAACCTTTTTAAGGATGCAACCAACGGTAAAATCCACATTCTATTACGTTTAATTTTAATAAACATACCTGTTGAGAGGTATTAGCAAGTGCCAGGGCCGTCAACTTGGAGGTGTCTCCAACATAGACATGCAGCTCTCTGGGTAACTCTGTGTCAATGGTCTCAATAAGTGTTCGGTTTATGACCGCTTGGACCCGGTCTGCGCTCACCTCAAGGCCACCGTCCAGAGCCCAGTACTGGACCTTGGTCACTATTTCTCTGGAACAAATACATGTGTAAAAGATAATTATTGAGCCAGCTGAGATATTTTTACAGCTGAGACATTTTTCTTTAAATTTATTTCTGGCCGTACAAATATGCCTAAATAGATTAACACCATTATCACAAAAATGTGAAATGTGTAGAAGCCCTAGTAAAGGAAGCGTGACGCTCTGATTATATATTTCTACATAAAGAACACAATTAGAAAAGTACCACTTTATACACTTTAGTATGATGAAAATATCACCCTACCCAGTCGCTGTCACGAAGTCTTCTGTCTGGATTGTCACGGCCAAGTTTCCTAAAGATGGCGCAAGAAGTCGCTCTAGTGAATCTTGGACATCTGCTTTGTCTGTGTTCACGTAACCACCCGTAATGTATAATACATTACCTGCAAAATAACACAAAACAACACATTATAAAATTGGCAAAGAAGGAAATCGACAACGGGCTGAGACTTTATCATACAGACAGAAAGTATGATGCGTCCTTTGCACACTTATTGAAATCAAGTCACTTAATTATAGTTACAAGGAGATGTAAATTCATATATCATAGAAATAAGATCGCATTGATTTCAGCAATCGTGTTGAAATTGTACTAACAATATACTCGTTCTTTAAAAGCACTTACCCGCAGACAACTGAATAGTTGTTGTTGTCGTAGTTGGTGTTGTTGTGGTTACGATATTCTCACATCGCGAGCCAGTGAAACCAGCAGGACAAAGGCAGACGAAGGCATTGACTCCATCTGTACAGTTTCCGCCATTTTCGCACGGGGAACCAGCACATTCGTCGATGTTAACCTGGCATTGGGGTCCCGTGTACCCAGCAAGGCATGTACATGAGTAACCTGCCACTAAGTCTCGGCACACGGCGCCGTTAGCGCATGGGCTGGACGCACAGTCGTTGACATTCGCCTCGCAGTTTGTGCCCTCAAATCCAAGAGGGCATTGGCAACTGTAACTGTTAAGTCCACTGGTACAAGTGGCGCCATTTTGGCAAGGACTACTTCTGCACCTGTTAACGTCGTTTTCACACAATGACCCGTTAAAGCCAGGTCTACAGCGGCAAGTAAACCCGTTGACTTCATCCACACAGACACCTGTATTAAGACAGGGGGTACTGGCACACTCGTCTATGTTCACATCACATACGGTGCCTGTAAAACCAGCAACGCATTGGCAGTTGAAAGACCCAACCCCGTCTAGGCAAACGCCGCCATTACGACAGGGGTTACTCGCACATTCGTTGATGTTGGTTTGGCAAAGGGGTCCAGTAAACCCTGTCGGGCATTGACATGTGTAATTGTTGACCCCATCAACGCACACAGCGTTGTTAAGACACACCACGCCGACGCAGTCGTTGATATTTGTCTCGCAATATGTTCCTGTGAATCCTAACTTGCAAAGGCATGTGAATGTATTGTTCCCATTTCTACACGCGGCTCCGTTTTCGCATAAACCTAGAGCGCAGGTTGTTACTCTGGTTTCGCATCGGGCCCCTGTGTATCCCGGTCTGCATTCACAAACATAACCATTGACTCTGTCCCGGCACGTCGCTCCGTTGCTGCAAGGGTTGGTTGCGCATTCATCAATGATGTTTACCTCACACCTTGCGCCTGTGAACCCCGGAAGACACCTACAGGTGAATCCATTATTTCCATCCACGCAAGTGCCGCTGTTCTGGCAAGGGCTGTTAAAACAATCGTCCACGTTGGTCTCACATACCGAACCGGTGAACCCAGTGGGACAATGACATGTGAATCCATTGACTCGGTCCATACAGGTGCCTCCGTTATTACAGGGAAAGCTGCTGCATTCGTTTATGTCGGTCTCACATTGCATCCCGGTGTATCCAAGGAGACAGGTGCAGTAAAATGAGTTAATGCCGTCGACACAGGTCGCGCCGTTACGGCATGGGGTACTGGCACATTCATTAATGTCCACCTCACACTTTGCCCCAGTGTAACCAGCAGGGCACTGGCACGTGTACTTGCCAATGCCATCCAAGCACACGCCGCCGTTCTGGCAAGGGTTGCCGGCGCATTCATCTATATTTGTAGCACAGGTCGGCCCGGTAAACCCGGATTCACATATGCATATGAACATGTTGATTCCATCTGAGCAAGATGCACCGTTCTCACACGGGTTACTGGCACATTCGTTGATGTTGACCTCACAGTTTCTTCCTGTATAACCTGGAACGCACTGGCACGTGTAACCGTTAACGCCATCGGCACACTTGCCTCCGTTTTGGCACGGTGTGCTGAGGCACTCGCTCACCCTGTTCTCACAGTTGATGCCTCCGTATCCTGAAGGACACAGGCATGTGTAAGAATTAATATCATCTCTGCATCGACCACCGTTTTGACAAGGATTACTGGCACAGTCATCAAGGCTCGTCTGGCAGTCCGACCCGGTGAAACCAGCCAAGCACTGGCAGGTGTAGCTCGTGTTTCCTACAGCAGTGCAGAGCCCTTGGTTTTGGCAAGGGAACGAGCTGCAGCCGTTTCTGTTATCAAACTGACACCTGGGGCCGCTGATTCCCGTTGGACAGCGACAGGTGAATGAGTTTACACCCTGGGTACAGGTGCCCCCGTTGCTACACGGATTGGAGGCGCACTCATCGATGTCTACCTCACAAAACCTTCCATTGTACCCGGCCACACAGCGACATGTGTAGGAGTTGATACCATCGATACAAGTAGCCCCGTTTTGGCAAGGGTTGCTGGCACATTCATTGATGTTGGTCTCACAGTTTGTACCTGTAAAGCCAGTTACGCATTGGCAGATGTAGCTGTTGATATTGTTCATGCATATACCACGGTTCTGACAAGGGTTACTGGCACATTCGTTGATGTTGGTCTCACATGTTTGGCCAGTAAAGCCAGGCTGACACTGGCACGTAAAGCCGTTCACTCTATCTGTGCAGTTACCATTGTTTTGACACGGCGTGCTAGCACAGTCGTTAATGTTTGTTTCACAGTTCTTTCCTGTAAATCCCGTCTGACAGGCACACCTATACTCTGCTACACCATCCATACAGAATGCGCCATTCTGACAGGGATTACTGGCACATTCGTCAATGTTGAATTGGCAGTTTGCACCCGAGAAACCAGTTCGACACTGGCATGTATAGCCATTAATGCCGTCTGTGCATGTGCCACCATTTTCGCAAGGTCTAAGGGAGCACTCGTTGATGTTGGTCTCGCATTTTGAACCCGTGTAGCCAGCCAGGCACTGACACGTGTACCCATTGATAGCATCTGTACAAGAACCGCCATTTTGGCATGGCTGAACGGCACATTCGTTAAAATTTGTCTCACAGTTTTTGCCTGTAAACCCAGCAAAACAAATACAGGTATATCCATTGACACCGTCTAAACAAGTGCCGCCATTCTGACAAGGTCTTACGGCACATTCATTTATATCAGTTTCACAGTTTCGTCCAAAGAAACCAGGTTGGCATCGACAGGTATATCCATTCACGCCGTCCACACACACCCCACTGTTTTGGCATGGTGAGCTTGAGCATTCGTTGATGTTGGTTTGACATGTAGACCCTGTATATCCAAGTGGGCACTGACAGGCGTAGGAATTCACGAGATCGACGCAGGTGCCACCGTTCTGACACGGCGTGCTAGCACAGTCGTTAATGTTGGTCTCACAGTTTGATCCCGTGAACCCTGTCGCACATACACAACTGTATCTGTTCAGGTCGTTGACGCAGAATGCCCCGTTCTGACAAGGTCTGCTGGCACACTCGTCAATATCGTTTTCGCAATTTGTTCCTGTATAACCTGCAACACACTGGCAAGTGTACGAGTTGACTCCCTGGATACAACTGCCGCCATTTCTGCACGGATTGCTGGAACATTCTTGTATTTTCGACTCACAGTTTGTTCCCGTGAAACCGTTAACACACTGGCAAGAATATGAATTTGCACCGTCCAGACAAGTGGCGCCATTTTGGCAAGGGTTACTGGCGCATTCATTGATATTTGTCTCACAGTTTGTGCCGGTAAAGCCACCTGCGCATTGACAGATGTACCTGTTGATGTCGTTGATGCATATGCCGCGATTTTGACAAGGGTTGCTAGCACATTCATTGATATTGGTCTCACAGTTTGTGCCGGTAAACCCTCTTACACACTGACACGTGTAGGTAAGGCCACCTGTTGGTGTACATATCCCAGTATTTTGGCAAGGGAAGCTAGAGCAGCCATTGGCGATCCTTGTTTGACAATTTCGTCCAGTGTATTCAGAAGGACACTGGCACGAGTATGTGTTGATACCCTGTGTACAGGTTGCCCCGTTCTGACAAGGTCCACTAGCGCATTCATCAATATCAGTTTGGCAGTTGGTTCCAGTGAATCCTGGTCGGCATTGGCATGAGTAGGCATTGACCATATCTGTACATACACCACCGTTCTGACATGGAGCACTGGCACACTCGTTTATGTTGGTCTCACAGTTATTTCCTGTGAATCCTGCCGGGCACTGACAGCTGTATACATTCTTGCCGTGAGAGCAGGTGCCCCCATTACGACACGGACTGCTGGCACATTCATCGATGTCTGTTTCACAATTGGAACCAGTGAATCCAGTAACACACTGACAAGTGTAAACGTTGATGCCGTCCGTGCAACTTCCTCCATTTTGACAAGGAGTACTGGCACATTCATTGATGTTCATCTGACAGTTTGTTCCAGTATAACCTGCAACACACTGGCAGGTGTACGAGTTGACTCCCTGGATACAACTGCCGCCATTTCTGCACGGATTGCTGGAACATTCTTGGATTTTCGACTCACAGTTTGTTCCCGTGAAACCGTTGACACACTGGCAAGAATATGAATTTACACCGTCCAAACAAGTGGCGCCATTTTGGCAAGGGTTACTGGCGCATTCATTGATATTTGTCTCACAGTTTGTGCCGGTAAAGCCACCTGCGCATTGACAAATGTACCTATTGATGTCGTTGATGCATATACCACGGTTTTGACAAGGGTTGCTGGCGCATTCATTGATATTGGTCTCACAGTTTGTGCCGGTAAAGCCTCTTACACACTGACACGTGTAGGTAAGGCCACCTGTTGGCGTACATATCCCAGTATTTTGGCAAGGGAAGCTAGAGCAGCCATTGGCGATCCTTGTTTGACAATTTCGTCCGGTGTATTCAGAAGGACACTGGCACGTGTATGTGTTGATACCCTGTGTACAGGTTGCCCCGTTCTGACAAGGTCCACTAGCGCATTCATCAATGTCAGTTTGGCAGTTGGTTCCAGTGAATCCCGGGCGACATTGGCATGAGTAGGCATTGACCATGTCTGTACATATACCACCATTCTGACATGGGGCACTGGCACACTCGTTAATGTTGGTCTCACAGTTCTTTCCTGTAAATCCTGCTGGACACTGACAATTGTATATGTTGATGCCATGAGAACAGGTGCCCCCATTACGGCACGGATTGCTGGCACATTCATTGATATCTACTTCACAGTTGGAACCATTAAATCCAGAAATACACCGGCAAGTATAACCGTTGATACCGTCCGTGCAAGTACCTCCATTTTGACAAGGAGTGCTGGCACATTCGTTGATATTCATTTGACAGTTTGTTCCAGTATAACCTGCAACACACTGGCAGGTGTACGAGTTGACTCCCTGTATACAACTGCCGCCATTTCTGCACGGATTGCTGGAACATTCTTGTATTTTCGACTCACAGTTTGTTCCCGTGAAACCGTTAACACACTGGCAAGAATATGAATTTGCACCGTCCAAACAAGTGGCGCCATTTTGGCAAGGGTTACTGGCACATTCATTGATATTTGTCTCACAGTTTGTGCCGGTAAAGCCACCTGCGCATTGACAAATGTACCTATTGATGTCGTTGATGCATATACCACGGTTTTGACAAGGGTTGCTGGCACATTCATTGATATTGGTCTCACAGTTTGTGCCGGTAAACCCTCTTACACACTGACACGTGTAGGTAAGGCCACCTGTTGGTGTACATATCCCAGTATTTTGGCAAGGGAAGCTAGAGCAGCCATTGGCGATCCTTGTTTGACAATTTCGTCCAGTGTATTCAGAAGGACACTGGCACGTGTATGTGTTGATACCCTGTGTACAGGTTGCCCCGTTCTGACATGGCCCACTAGCGCATTCATCAATGTCAGTTTGGCAGTTGGTTCCAGTGAATCCCGGTCGGCATTGGCATGAGTAGGCATTGACCATATCTGTACATACACCACCGTTCTGGCATGGAGTACTGGCACACTCATTAATGTTGGTTTCACAGTTTGTTCCAGTAAACCCAGCAGCACACTGGCATGTGTATGAATTTGCCCACTGGATGCAATTGCCGCCATTTCTGCAAGGATTGCTGGAGCATTCTTGGATTTTAGTTTCGCAGTTTCCTCCTGTGAAACCTTTGACACACTGGCAAGAATACGAGTTGATGCCGTCTAAACAAGTTGCGCCATATTGGCAGGGATCACTGGCGCATTCATTAATATTAATCTCACAGTTTGTGCCCGTAAAACCAGCCGCGCACTGACAGATGTACCTGTTTCTGTCATTAAAGCACGTTCCACGGTTCTGACAAGGGTTACTGGCACATTCATTAATGTCGGTTTCACAGTTTGTTCCTGTAAATCCGCTAGCACATTGACACCTATAACCAGTGCTGCCGACAGGTATACAAACTCCCGTGTTCTGACAGGGAGAATTGGAACAGCCATTTGTATTTCTAATTTCACAGTTCGTGCCAGAGAATCCGGATTGACAACTGCAAACGTAACTGTTTATCATGTCTCTGCACGTGGCCCCGTTTCTACATGGCCCGCTCGCGCATTCGTCGATGTTAATTTCGCAATCAGTTCCCGAAAATCCTGCCGCACACTGACACGTGTAGGAGTTGATCAGATCTGAACATGTCCCGCCATTTTGACATGGCACTCTGGCGCATTCGTCGATGTTAACTCCGCAGGTAACTCCCGTGTACCCTGGTCGACACATGCACGTGTACGCATTTTGGCGGTCCAAGCACAATGCGCCGTTTTGACAGGGATTACTGGCACATTCGTTGACGTCGACCTGGCACCGAGACCCTGCGAACCCCGGCACACAGCGGCACGTGTAGGAATTCACGCCATCAACACAAGTACCGAAATTCAGGCATGGATTACTGGCACACTCGTTGACGTTTGTAGCGCATGTTGTTCCAGTATACCCAGCTGGACATACACAGGTGAAGGAGTTGACGCCATCTATGCACCGAGCGCCATTTTCACAAGGGTTGCTGCCACATTCATCAATATTAATCTCGCAGTTGGTCCCGGCAAACCCCGCGTTACATTGACAGCGGTACGAGTTGATGCCGTCAATGCATAACGCCCCGTTCTGGCACGGAGTACTGGCGCACTCGTTCACGTTCACTTGACAGTTTGTCCCTGAGTATCCTGCGGCACACTGACAGGTATACGCGTTGTTTCCTTGGACACAGGTTCCACCATTTTGACAAGGGTTGCTAGAACATTCCAACACTTTCGACTGGCAGTTCGTGCCAGCGTACCCAGGAGGACAAATACATGTGTACATGTTGTTACCGTCAAAACAACTCCCGCCGTTTACACATGGATTGCTGGCGCACTCGTCCACATTGGTACCGCAATCAAACCCGACCCAACCTGGTGAGATAATGAAGAGATTGTGACAGAGATGCCTCATGTTTCAAGAGGAAGTTACATTTTCGTTAGACCATACAGTTACTTTTTTCATCACTGCGTACCTTCACTTATTGATCTACAAAGTGAAAAACTTTAATTAACTTTAAAAAATCACGATAATACTTTAGTTGCAGCACCTTAACATAAATTTTGGAATCGCTCATTTCAAATGCAACGCGGTATATTCAATCCATTCTTTTCACTATACCCTTTGGAATAATGCTTTCACTATTAAAAGTACAATGACATTCATTTTTACCTGGATCACAATATGCTTTGACGTTGAAGGTCAACCTGAATAAGAAGTGAAAAACGTTAAGTTAAACGTAACTGATTAAACAATAATTGTATTTGTTTATCATAGTTCTCATTTATAAAATTATTTATGCGTTATGTCGGTTAGTAAATGTACGTCAGCTTTCCTATCAATTGTACATAAGCTCAAAGTATGCAATAAACCAACATTGACAGGTGGAGCAGACAAGCTTGTTTCAGACTTGAATCCAATGTAAGGATCCTAGTTTCCTAGATAAACTAACAAATAGAGACCACCGGCTACTTACGACGTTGGTTCTTGCTGTCTCTGCCCCGTGATGCTCTCAAAGTTCCACAAGTTGTCGCCAACGTTCTGTACTATCGCATTTACGGGAATGACGGCTTCAAATGTATCCACTCTATCGTCTCCCGGGTTCCCGTCCAGCGTGGCTGCTACATCTTTGTCTATAACGTCCACTTTGATTTTAAATGACCCCTAAAAAGAGGATTCGTGAGGCATTTAAAATGCGAACATGGATGTGTGTGTGTGTGTGTGTGTGTGTGTGTGTGTGTGTGAGAGAGAGAGAGAGAGAGAGAGAAAGAGAGAGAGAGATGGGGAGGGGGTTACCTATTAATGCAGTTCAGGAACTATGCCACGAGGGTACAAGTCTGGTGACACATCTAATAGGCTGAGGCGAGGGGCTATTGTTAATAGATATACCAAACTCCATCCAGACTCCAGTGCACAGTGGTTAAGGAAGCAAGTCAACACATTAAGCTTATTTTAAACTTTCCATCCAGTATTTATAAGATAACCCACCTACCAGTGGCTTTAACGTCTATGCGATCTTACTTTAAGAGGAAATGTGAATGTGCCAGCTGACAGCAAAATAAGTTATACACACTCAATATGTTGTGCAATCCGATATTATATAAGTATTAATGAAAACATGTAAATGAACATGTATAAAATTTGCCAAGAAAGGATTCTTACCGGCCACGTGGTAAAGTTCGCCAGGAAAGGATTCTTGGTTTCATCTGGTCCTGTTTGGAAGTTGATGTCATTGGACTGGATGGATCCGACATAGCCTGTGGACCCGTACGCACACGACTCTATGTCGCTATTTCTGAAGGTAAAAAGTAAAGATATAACAGATAATGTTTATTTACCTTATTATGAAATATTATTCAAAGGCAACCTATCTTGGATTTTCCATCCAAATAGAATCTTTCTTGAAAAAAAAAAGGAATTTACCCAAGAATCATTGCTTGACCCGTCCATACCCTTGGAACCGATTTTTGTACCATTTCTTATTAACTAAAAAAATTCGGCCTATCATTTGTTTAGAGCGCGCCACGTTTTCCATTACATTTCAGAACATATCTACGTCATTCAATAAACTACTTTCTTATGTCTTCATTGGATCAGCTCTCCTCCACTACTAAATGGTTACCTTCAGTCTCTTCTTTTAAGAGTTTTCTAAAAAATTAACCTTACTGCAGGATCGCATTCAACCACAGCTCTTGATTTGAACAGAAGTCGGGAAAAAATTAACAGAGCGAGTGTTGGGTGTTTGTTTAATATAAAGCTGAACAATAGAGGCATAATTGGAATACAGTCACTTGACTGCACCTGTGGCGCTAACGATACTCGGTATAAAAGCTTCCCGTTCCTTTGCAAAAATTATAGACGAAACATTGCAGAGGAATAAGGTATATTTTAGAACTCGAAAGGATAAACATAAACCTTTTTAATTATATATGTAAAAAGTAACTGGAAATGGACTACGGTTTCTAGCGGACTACCATTCCTGTCACACGGTACAAAAGTAAGTTACTAAATAACATGCTATCCATATCATATGCCCTCATAATTATTATTATTCTCTTTGAATGGAGAGAAAAAAATATTAACCAAAAAACATCAAACATCAAATTTAGTATCGCCATTCGTTTTCTTTAACTGTTGTAATGGAGGCTTGGGAGTTTCTAAAATTTGTCGGCATCGAAATAAACCACAATTATTTTAGCAAAGCGTGGATATACTATTGCAAAAAAAAATCTAATACTAATAACAAACCTCCATTTTGATTTACACGATGATATAGATGTTTATTAAGGGGGAGGGGTGCGCGTGCATGAGTGCGGGAGAGAGGCACAAGCAGAAGTGTAGAATATGGGTGTGACCCAGAGAAAAAGCGTGCGTGTAGGGTATCACTACCAAAATACCCACATATTACTCCCTTATAACTATGCTGGTAGTTACATAATGTATACAAATTCTTATCACTTATCAAGAATTAATGAGCTTTCGGTTAAACGTAGTATTTAAACAGCCGGTCATCTATTTCGTAATTTAATCGTGGTTCTGCAAATAAGGTGTAAACCCTTTAATGCTTACGCAAGTACACGCTTCACACACACCATAGTACAGGTGATATGAATGACTTTAGTCAAAAACGAACACCGGACATGGTTTTAACCTTGAATATATCAGTAGCATGGAGAAAACGAAACGTAATTTTCAGACTCATTGCGAAAAAAGTCACTACAATGTAGAAACAGACATTGAAAGACTAGGTTACTATACCAGTTTGCAGATAAAAATTTACATTAACTGCGACCTATTGCGGTCACCGGGGACTGTACAGATGCGACGTTTTTAAAGAATCGAACCCTTTACACATACTGCTCTCACCCTATTACTCTGCTAATGCTCCATGCAGCAACTTAATACAGACATCTCCTGCCTGTTACGTCATATACAAGTATTTTATTGAATTCAAATTGTTATTAGGAGCAGTTGATAACTCTACCATATAAGATAATTCGTTTAAAAAACACAGTTTAACTGACCTGAACTTATAAAGTTTTCATTATGAAAACATTTACAACCATTTTATGTGTATAAATACATTTGTCTATATGAGTTACGACCGCATTTTTAAAATTAAAATTAAAATGAATATGGTTCCACAAATAATAATTACTAGTATCCAACGTGTCAATCACCCTGGAATCAACTTTAATTGAACTGGGGGCGTGAAAATAATGATGTAAAACTTCAATAATATCATATGATATAAGGTTTGGTTCGCTTGAAAAGGATCATTTGTAAACAGTGAGGATTTTGGAAGGCATTATCCCCATTCTTATACAAGTAGCACGTAAACTGTGGAAAATCCTCATGGAAAATTAACCAAAAGAAAAATAGAGTCGGAATTTTATTAATGAGTATTTAAAAAGACACCACCCTAATTTGACCGTTGACCAAATGCCGCCTCAACTAGGCTGGTCCCATTTCTCTCAGGTTAAGTATACAGGCATAGGTGATAACACTGCAGTGTATGGCATATTTTGATGCAACCCCAGAGACCAAGTTGAAGTCTCCAAAGTCGGTAAATTAGCTGACATTGATTATGGTCACTGAACTAATAAAGTAAGGGACATTTATGTACTAAATGTGGAAAAAGGCATTTACTTCGTGGCTAAAATACTAAATTAGTTAAATTTAGAATATTAAATAATACACTGTATCGACTTATTTGACGCACCTTAGCAGGGCGTAGCTACCTTCTTCCGTCATTTTTATCGTAAATATTACTCCTTTTGTTCTTGAAATTTGTTTGGCTTGAGGGCGACTGCTTTATGGCCGCTGTGCGTAATTCTAACGCCCTATTTTCGTGGACCATATTATCTTTCGACAATAATTTATTCACTCAAGTGCCTCTTTTCGCTAGTTCTACTACTTGGGTTATCACTCATTTCAAACGTATCTACCACAGGTCTAGTATTCACGAAATAGTTCATTTTTATCTGGAACCTAGTTTACAAAAAAAAAATAATAATAATAAATAAAAAGAATAACAACATTAAAAAATTATATCTAGATTAAATCAACTTACCCGCCAGGTGCATCAAAACACAGTTTGAAGGATGTGTCGCAAGGGTCGATGTTACAGAAAAATGTTAAAGAGTTATCACAGCACTGGCCGCTGGCGCGTTTGTGGTTCTCATTTTTAAAACTAAGAAGCTGTACTGCTATCTTGCCGGTTGCATCAACAGCTACGAAAAACTGCAATGGTAAATTATAAGTGGTTAGGTTCTTGAACATAATCAACGTGTTTTTATATAATATACTAGATAAAAACGTTGAAATACTTCTTTTTTTAGTGTCATGACATACAACTCATCTGCATATCAATTGGTATATAAATTATTATTTACTATACTAAAGTAAACCATTTGCAGGCTCTGTTTGGACCGCATAGGACGATAAGATTTACATGCACTTCTTTAACTGATGTCTTTTTCATTTAATTTTATCGTTCATGAAAGGTAAGGCTTTTTTCACGCTTTTGTAATTTTTAAGGACAGAATTTATATTATTATAATTAAGAGCGTCCAAAGGTTTAAAAAGAACTACATACATTAACAAATTAAAACATTATCGAAAACATTTGAGGAGCTTCATTTAGAAAGATAGTGATTATACTTACGAAGCACGACGTCCAAAGTATTAATATCCAAATCGAAGTCGCCTTTGAGGAGGCGTCCATTTTAAATATCATCAAAAATCCCGTCAGCCTTGCGGCAGTAGATCTCCCTATGCTTCTTAACACTAGTAGGTAGTTAGCGTGATATTCAGGCTACGCAACAGCCAATTAA